GTACTCAATCAATAATGTACGAGTGACATCTAAAAGATGCCGATTTTTTCGTTCAGCAACTCCATTTTGTTGTGGTGTATATGGGCAAGAGTGTTGTGAGACAATCCCTTTGTCAAGCAAGAATTTTTTGAATTCATAAGACATATATTCTCCACCAGAATCAGATCTTAATAATTTGATGCATGTAGAAAATTGAGTCTCAATGTAAGCCAAAAATGTCTTGAACATGGAAAATACCTCAGATTTGGATCGAAGAAAATACACCCATGTAAACCGACTATAATCATCTATGAATGTCACAAAGTACTTGAAATGAGCATGAGAAATAATTGGTGAAATGCCCCAAACATCACTATGAATGACATCAAAACACTTTGTAGCACGACTACCAAAATTAGGAAAAGGAAGAGTTTTACTTTTGCCTAATTTACAAGTAGAACAATCAATGGAAGCAACTGAAAATTTATTTTTATTTCCCAATAAACCAGAATTTGATAAGTGAGACAACACAACAGAATTTGGATGTCCTAGACGCTTATGCCAAACCTCAGTTTTACTAGCAGTAGAAGTACAAGCAAAAGATAGAACAGGAGGAATGGAAAAGTGTATAGGAAACAATCGTCCAACTTTAGGCCCCTTCGCGATTATCGTCCCCGGCACCTGATCCTGCACAAGACAACCATTACGAGAAAAATTCACATCACAATTGTTATCTACCAATTGTCCAACTGAAATAAGACTAGTTGAGAGCTTTGGCGAAACAAAACATTCTTGAAAGTTGGAGAAATGTCCCCAACCTTGGTAATGAGTAAATTACTACCATTGACAATCTGTTTTTTGTGATGGACCTTGATACTTACGAACATTTTTTAGGATGCTCGTTGAGTTGGTCATATGATTGGAAGCACCTGGATCAACAATCTAAAAATTAGATGTAACATCATTACCTTGTAATCCCAATGCTGAAAAGGCTGACACGATCATTTGTTGTACCATTTCAGGAGTAAGAACTTGTCCTGAAGATGAGTTATCCTCGGTGGATCCATTTATCCTAGCTTGAAAAGCATTGATCCTACGATTTTGAGGGCGCGTGGGACACTCTTTGATAATGCGTCTTTGTTCATTACAATAATTACAAAACTTCTTGCTACAATTGCTAGCAATATGACTATATTCCTTGCAACTGTAGCATTGAGTTCTACTCATATCCCTGCCCTTTCCTTTACCTTGAGCAGCAAATGCAACAGTGACATCATTTTCTTTCTTAAAAGCATTTTGTGTGACAAGACATTGCTCTTCACGAAGTAATTCCCTAAAGCAAACATCCAAAAAGGGAGACGGGTCACGATTCATCAAGTTAGAGCGAACACTCTCAAAGTCGGAGCGTAATTTCATCAAAAATTGGTCTCGCTTGCTTTGCTCATAAACTGCCTGAATCACTGATAGGGATTCAGTAGGTATTTTGGCAAATCCTTGAAATGCCTGAAAATCAAGTCTTCAAAACGAGGAGAGATTACTGCTAAAATGGAGTAAATTCAGCCCATAAGTTTTGAAATCCAGAAAAATAATCCTGAACAGAAAGACCTCCTTGAGAGTAATTAGCAATTTCATACTCCAACTGAAAGCGTCTTGCGCTATTATCTTGGTTGTAAACCTTTTGTAAGTAATCCCACATGGCCTTAGATGTCTTGTACGGCCTGAGATTAAGAACAATAAGAGGGTCAATTGACCCTAGAATCCATGTCATCACCCGAGCATCTTTAATCTTCCATTCACCTAGCTTTGTTGCATCAGTAGGAGCAGGATCGCTTCCATCTATATGGCCCCATAGTTCTTTGCCGGTGACAAACAACTGAAATTGAAACTCCCAAGAAGAATAATTTTTTCCAGTGAAACGAACACTGAAGGATTCAAAGTGATGTGAATTCATGCTTTTGAATAGCTATGAAAAAAACAAAGACTCAAGAAAGCAACTAGAATGACCAAGAACAAAATTCCCAGGAGGTAGACAAAAACCAAGATTTTCAAAAAAATTTAAAAGGAACCACAGATGACTCTATGAAACAAGACAGCCAAGAGAA